TGGTGTGGTATCGCATTTAATAGTAGGGGGAGAGAGCAGGGCCGTAGGAAGCTCTTTTCGTTTGGGGGGGGGGCTTAAAGCGAGGGCTGAAGGCCCGAGGAAATTTTTAAATTTAGAGTCTCTCAAATGCCATTTCCTGGACTTTGGGGAAGATTTGACAGATTTCTGATTGTCAGAAAACAGCGTTTTTAGTATGTGGAAATTTAGAATTCAGTAGTACTAAATGGACGAAGGTGTATTTAATTAACGATATATTGGATAAGTTGCAGGAAAGTATGGGTAATATCTTCATTCTTTGCAGTTTGTCATGGATTAAATAATAAAGGTCTGCATGATTTTGAAAAATGAATGATTATTAGCAAATTATTGGGGGGCTGCAGCCCGCCAGCTCCCCCCCCCCGCTGCGAGAGGGTCTGGGGTTTTCTCCCCCAGAAAATGTTTGCATTTTTCTACCCCTATGACTGCAATTCCCTGCATTTTCTGAAACAGATTTTTGGATATACAGCATTACATTATGCTGTAGATAGACTGAACCTTCAGTTAAGTACTTGCATTGTATGTTTATGTAGATACCACAACTTGGCCGTCACTTAGGGAGCCGGCCAGCTTGATAAACTTAGAGTTCCCGACTCCCACGAAACGCCACCATGGTTGGCACAGAGCGGAAACATTTTGAAAATTTTGCGTCTCTAAATCATCGGAAATGGCATTTTCAAAGTCTTCTATACGTCTTTTGTTTGGCCCTTTCATTAATTCGTTCATTATGATTTGTGAGTCTATAATATCCGCGAGTCGGGATGAATTATTACGAGAAATGTTATCAAAATATCGATTACAGATATTTGATTATATGTATATATGATTTTAAATACTTCTAGTTTCGAAATCAAATTGTTTTTTTTTTGGTGGGGGCCAAAATTATCCTCCCCCCCTTATAAAACACTTGGTTGAGGGCCTGTTGCCCCCTGTGGTCACTAACTTGTCCAACAACTCAAACTCTATAGGGTCTGGGAAATGCAATCCACTGCCTGGGAAATGTTTAAAATCTAATAAGGTATTTATTAAACATAAAAGACAGGACATAAGATTCACAAAGCAAATTTCAGTTACTAGAATATCAAACCTCCCTTCTAAAT